CCAGCCGCACGTCCTGCCTCACGCGCGCCTCCCGCGGCGGGTGTGGAGGTGCAGCGGGGTCCGCCTGGCCCCGCCCGCCCCCGCCAATCAGCGCCCGGCCCTGCGGGTCACGTGCCCGCGCGGGGCCAATGCCAGCCGCCGCCGGGGTGTGCTCGGCCCCGATTGGCTAGCGAGGGTGCTTGTGACGTAACATGGGATGAACCATAGGGGTTCGGGAGCTGGGGGGGTGGGAAATGCGTGACCTGGCTCCCTTTCAGGAACAGTGGGGCCGGGAAGAAGAGAGCGGAGAGCGATGAAGGGTAGGCTGCCCTCCACATGCTCACATCGGTGTGTTGTTTTTAAAGCTTATTCTACCGACCTCCCCCCTCCCTGCCTTGTGTTGGGTTCGTCCAACTGCCGCTTGGGGGGGCGGGATTTCTCGCCCCAGTCTCTTTTAACTCATTGGTTCAAGGAGATGCTTGTCATTGGTCGCCGAACCAATCAGCTGACGCGAGGGGGCTAGCGAGGAAGGTTCCATGTGGGCTAGAAGGGGGAGGAGAGTCCCGCTCCCTCCCCCCCCCACGGCCCCGGCAACATGGATCGGCCCAGACTGCCAGGGGCCTGTGGGTGTGGAGGGTGCCTAAGTCACTTAGGTCCATATAGATAGGGGTCATCCATATCAAGTTTGTAATAGAGGATGTATATATACAGCTATATATAACTATATATAGGGGTCATCCATATGAAATTTGATAGGGGATGTATATATATAACTATATATAAATAACTATATAACTATATATAGCTATACAGGGGTCATCCATATCAAATTTGATAAGGGATGTGTATATATAACTATATATAAATAACTATATAACTATATAGGGGTCGTCCATATGAAATTTGATAGGGGATGTGTATATATAACTATATATAAATAACTATATAACTATATATAGCTATACAGGGGTCATCCATATCAAATTTGATAAGGGATGTGTATATATAACTATATATAAATAACTATATAACTATATATAGGGGTTGTCCATATCAAATTTATGATAGAGGATGTGTGTGTATATTTATATATTTATTTATTTATTTTTCAAAACAAAACAAACACTCAGGCCCAGGTTCTCCGAAGCTATTTAGGTGCCTAACTTAGCTTGAAAACGGATGCTTTGCTATCCAAAAGCTTGCTAGAACATCACCCTGCCTGCAAGTTGGTCTGATGAAAGATGTCAGCTCGAACCAAGAGACTCACTTCTGTCCCAGTCGTTCTCATTGATTTCGGTGGGAGGTGGGTGCTTGAACACCTCCGAGGAGTCAAGATCTTTTCTCTGAAGAGCCGACTATCCAAATGGCGCCTTCAGAGCTCGTATGTGACCGCTGTGTTGTATTGGCCTCCCTCTTCGTGGCGTATGGGTGGGGTATTTATTTCCCCCCTTTTTAAAGGATTGTTCAGAAGTGTTTCCCAATCACTCAGTATTTTCAAGAGAAGTCTTAGCTGCGTAGTCTCATGCAGCCTTTGTGAAGCCTTCGAAGACGGCAGAGCTGTGAGAGCTGAACTACGGGCTCGTGGGCTTTTACAAACAGAAGATTGCAGAAGACAGAGCTTCAACCCTAGAAGTTTTGGTTCAGAGATGATACCTTATATTAGGCCAACTAAGAAATGGCAAAAAAATGATCTTTTTCTGCAAGCTTTTGGACACACGCACCCTTCCTCAGGCTCAGGGAAAATTAAAGATGGTAAAAAGTCCCCATAGGTAGAAAATAAACTTCATTTTTGCACAGAGGAAGCTGCAGGTGGAAGTCTGTTCCTCTGGGTCCATGCAAGTGTCTTTGTGAGTTGCTTTTTGATGTGCAGGTACGGCAGGAAGGGTGTGTGCGCCTGAAAGCTTGCAGAAAATTTTTTTTTACCTTTTATTAGACCAACTAAGAAATCACACCATCTCTGAGCCAAGAGTTCTAGAGTTTTGCATTTCTTTTTGTCACAGACCAACATAGCTACCAAATACATCCCTGAAACATGGAAGATGCTGAATTTTAGCCGATTTTGGATTTAAGCTTCATTGCTAAAGAACAAGAAAGATGTCTACACCTCCCCGCCTTTCTGCCATCTGACACTACCAGGGAGGGATCTGCACGTCAAGGAGCAACTCACAAAGAGACACTCTCATGCACCCAGAGGAACAGACTTCCACCTTCAGCTTCCTCTGTGCAAAATGATATTTATTTTCTCCCTATGGGAACTTTTTACCATCTTGACTATTCCCTGAGCCTGAGGAAGGGCGCATGTGCCTAAAAGCTTGCAGAAAAAGATTTTTTTTTTGCAATTTCTTAGTTGGTCTAATAACAGGTATCACCTCTGAACCAAGAGTTCTAGAGTTTTGCATTTCTTTTTGTCTCAGACCAATGCAGCTACCAAATACATCCCTGAACACAAAGCTCGGCACTTACCTTTTTTAGGTTTTGTACTCAATAGTCTGCTTCATTTAACCACAAGGTGGAACCCAAAGCACATGTATGACACTTTCAGCTTTTCAAGTAGGAATATGTATTAAGGGTGACAGTCCAGTACTCTATAGTTTTAAGAAACCTCTTGAAAAGCTTTTGAGACATGAGGCAGCTCTCCTCTTTTTCTCACCTTCTGAGGCCACTATTTATTTAATCTGTATCATTATTATTCTATTCCGTAATTCCCATCCTTCTGTTGAGAGAGGTAGCTAGCCATACTAGCCTGCAGAAGGCAGGGCAGGGTGGGATCTTTATAGTCTCTACAGTGCTAGCTTCACCTGCCTTCTGCTATTCTTCTATAGAGGTGGGGTGAAACAAGTCCACCTCCTCCAAACCCAGCTTGTAGTTCTAGGAGCATTAAAATGTTAAATTAATAATTTTTGCCTGGATTTCCAACCTGATGGAACCCCATTGGAACTGACTGTCCAGGTCCATGGCAGGGATTTGAAACAAAGCTTGAATATTTTCTGAACTGCACCCCTCCTTTCACAGTCAGCTGACCTATGTCTTTAGGTCAGGGGTGTCAAAGACACGGTCCACAAGCCAGACCTGGCCCATACAGCCCTGTCATCCAGCCCCCAGTGCTGCCCTTGGGTCTTGAGTTGACTCATAGGCAGCAGGTGGTGTGTGCTGGACCCCCCTACATGCAGGGACACAAGCTGCACATGGTGCCTGTTTGGGATGGGCTGGGATCCACGTGGTACACAGAGCCTACCCTGGGACAGGTGCTGTGCACACTGGATCCACTATGCAGGGGGCAGAGGCAGGCAGGGGGGAACGTGGGTCTGATCTGGCCTGCAGGGCCAGTCTTCGCTCTTCATATGGCCTGTGGACCAGTCCTACACCATTCATCCAGCCTGCAGAGCCAAGCCAAGTGCGTTTGACATCACTGCTTTAGGTAAATTATAACCAGTGCTCCCTGGGTTTGCATTTCTTTTCCTCATGCCAAGCACTGAAGACTTCACGCTCCTAGGACAGGTGCTCTCCAGAAGATCAAGCTCTAGACACAGCAAGCATTGTTTTACTAAGCAAGGCATTGCAGCAGAATGTAGGGCAAGTCGGACCTCATAACTGTGCCTCAGCATGCTTTCAGGATGTGCTGCCCTGCTCCACCTGCTGGGTCTTGCTCTGAAGAATGAGTCTGTTCCTTCTAAGCTCAGAGTCCTGGGGTGCAGCTGCAATTCTTTTCTATGGTTTTCTGGAAAAAGGAAGCCTTTTAGAGGAAAACATAAATATGCTTATTGCGGAGGGTAGAAGGGGAAAAATGGTGTTTTTCTGTCTCTCTTCTTCCCGTTATCTAAGACCACCCTCTTTTCTCACCCAGCCTTGCCATGTTTCCCCTCCTTTCCCCCTCAAGATTTAAACTAGCCTATAAAGATGTCTTCCCAGGACGGACCATATAGTAGAATGTCCAAGTTTTAATTTTACCATTTTTCTCTAATCCAAAGGGAAAAATTCCATTTTGCCAGGCAGAACAGGTAGGCTGATAAAGGAAAAAAATACCAGCTGCTGAGATCCTTGCTGATTATTGTAACTGCACTGTTGGACTTGCCATTCCAAAAAGCCCTTGAATGCTTCTGTCAGCCTTTGGCATTTCTTCATATTTTTGCCATTATCTAATCAACCACTATAGAGATAGAACCATTCTGATAACAGTCAGAGTAATAAGAGCCCTACTCCTGCTCCCATTGCAATCAGCTTCCTATTGACTTCAGTGGGAATGGGCCCTTAATTACCTAGGAACCTTATTTAAATTCTCTATAAATAAGTCTCTTGTGACCCTTGTAGCTCTTATTTGGAGAAACTGAAGATGGTCCAAAGCCAAAACCAACCAGACTGATTTCCAAAGGGAATTTATACATTTGATACAGCTTGGCACAATAATTCTCTTCTCCGCAGACAACACCACAAAGAATAGAGGATTGTACAGGCCTGGGGATGGGAACAGATAGCAGCAGGACTCTATCTTGATCTTCACTGCTAAGGGACTCGGAACGTCATACAAAAAGTATGCAGGGGTTTAGGTTGTAGCCGTGTTGGTCTAAGAACATAGGCAGACAAGGTTCCTTGGGTGAATTTGATATCTTTTATTAGACCAACCCAAATGGTTGGAGAATAGTTATTAAGCAAGCTTTCGGGTTCAAAAACCCTTCGTCAGGCTCAGGAAGCTGCAGCAGTTGGTGTGTGGAATGAAATGATGGAATGAAAAAAAATATGATACCTCTGGGACCTTCACTAAGGAAATTTTTTTCCATCCCATAAAACTTTGTTTAAAAATGTGCTTCTTCCAAATTAGGATGAACCTGGGACCCAAGAGAGAGCGCACACAAAAGACAGACCAACTTAATTAAAACAATTCCCAACAGCTCCAGATTCTACACAGATGCGTGTTGTCTGCTGATGTCAGAGCCATGCCCTCTGCCTCCTGTGCCTGACTCAAACACCTCTCCATGGGGGAAGCTATGCCATAGGTGTGCCACAGGCTGGAACTCTGTAGGCATACCTTTGATCTTTTCAGAGGTTTCCTTGGTTGTATTCTACGGGATGCTGTAACAGCGATTTCTTTGGGATTTATCATGCTAGAGAAAAAGTGCCAGGCATATTGATAAAACAAAATATATTTTTTCTATAATAACCACAATAAATGTTTCATAGACTATGGGTTTAAGACTTTAACACATTATTTTAGGCTGATTATATTACTTAGCATGTGAGCTGCCTGACGCACAAACATCTCTTTGTTCTGCGTTTATGCAGCATCTAGCACTGAGGTCTCAATCTGTGAATGTGGCTTCTGCGCCCTGCCAGACATAACAATTCAGGTGCAATTAACCTGTTAATTCTGCCATAAATGGTTACCCTGCTGCATGTCCAATGAATTAACGGCATGACAAAATGGGAAACCAGCCACAAAAATATTCTATAAAAGATGCGTAACAGTTTTTGGCTGATTCCCATTGTGCCTTGTATGGCATGGCAGAAGGCACAATTGTTGGGATCAAGGATTGGATCCGATCATACCATTATGAAGTGCTGATGTGACTAACAGCCATTTTTATCCTCTTCTGCCTGGATTCTTAACTCCTTAGAAGCATAGCACCTTGATTTTCTTGGTAGCTTGCTTCCCCAGGCCTGTTTCCTCACACAAAGCAGCAGAGTTCCTTTCCAGCTAGAGGTGCACCAATACATCGGTTGACTATCAGATTGGCACAGATAAAAGGGAAATGCACATGATCAGCTATCAACATTTTAGGTTGCTGTAGCCAATAATGCGTACTGATACCTGGACACCTGGGTTCCCTCTCCCGTGGGGCTGGGGCCCCCAGATGCCTGGGTTCTCTCAGGAACAGCAGATTTCCACTTGCAGGCGAGCAGCATTCTAGCCTGGAAGGGGTCCTGCTTGGGTATGCTGGGAGTGAGATGCAGGGGGTGCCGCACACATGTCTATGGTCAGGAACACAGCCTAGCAGCATGGAGAGCAGCTCCTTGCAGGTAAGTCTATTGACGGGAAGGGGTGTGGGGGAGGGAAGGGGAGTAGGGGGTGTAGATCGAGGCCCCCACCATGAGGGACGGAGTGGGGCAGGGGCTGGGCTTGGGGCCAGGGGCACTGCCCAGCCAGGACAGTGCATGGGACCTGGGGTCAGGGTGGGGAGAGGGATAGAGCCATGGGCGTGGGTGGGGGGCGTCTTCCTGCTACTGCATGCACCCTCCCGGGGAGGCATGGTGGGGCATGTGCCCCACCATATTTACGTGCAGGGCAGATGTGGGCTGCTTGCTGCAGACCCAGGGCTCTCCACTCTGCTGCCTTTGCCCTGGGAGCCCTGCACCAGCCATGTGCCCCCTGCCCACCCCGCAGCAGTGGAGGCAGCAAGTTGTGCCTCCTGCTGCTGGGCAAGCAGGGGGCATGCGGCCAACATGGGGCTCCCAGGGCGAAGGCAGCAGGGCAGCTCACAGTGAATGAGCTTTAGTTCAAGCACCGCCGCCACCAGTTTTAAGTGCAGGGATGCTTTTAAGTGGAGCAGAGCCAAGCAGGGCGAGGGCAGATGTGGACTGCTTGTTGGCGGGCTCAGGGCTCTCCGCTCTGCTGCCTTTGCCCCAGGATCCCCACACTGGCCACGTGCCCCCTGCCTGCCTGGCAGCAGAAGGCACAACTTGCCACCCCCACTACTGCCAGGCGCATAGAGGGTGCAGGGCTGGTGCAGGGCTTCTGGGACAAAGGCAGCAGAGTAGAGAGCCTCAAGACCACAGTGAGCAGCCTGCATCTACCCTACACACAAGTCTGGCGGGGCACGTGTGCTCCCCTTGCCTCCCCTGGGGGTAGGCACAGCAGCAGAGAGCCGCTCCTCCATGCCCCCTGGATGAGCCGCCCGTGGCTCCATCCCGCTCCCTGCCCCGCTGATTTAACTAGAGTAAATCGGTTATCAGACCAGCATTAGCCGATCTAGTTGGTTAATAATCGGCTATCAGTATCAGCCAAGAAAATATCGGTGCATTCCTATTTCCAGTACATTGCCCTCTCCTACCTTTAACTCCTTTAGGTAAATCACTAAACTCCTTGAAATCTAGGCTTTTGTGAATGTAAATCAAGATTCTGCCTCCTGCTCTGTCAGATGACACTGGGTTTTTTTCTTCTCCTTCAAACTCTTTTCCTTCCTGATTGTTTTTTTAATGAACCCTGACATTTATCAGACATCGGGCTGCGTGCTGGTGCAGTATCTATGCAGCAAAAGGACCTATAATAAAAGAACATGCAACCTTCTCTGCAGGAGTCATTTAAAAATACATTTATAAAACTGTTACTCAGTAGGGCAACTCACACAGTAACACTAGGTACACTTGCAATATTTATTATTTTTCACATTTTAGATGCATACAATATATCTATATATATCTATATATATATATATAAAAAAAAATAGAAAGTATGAGACTTTCCAGGACATTTCACAAACACATCCATTTTCCCATGAAGTTTCTGTCTTTAGACTACATAATACACCATCACATGTGAACAGATAACACGTGTTCAGAGAAGGTGGGGGGGTAGAGAGAGATTTCTCAGACAGAAAGGTCACTAGCAGGAACAGGGCTGCTGCACAGGGGGCAGGTTGTCTGTGAGTCGCATGTTGTTCCCAGAATAGCCTCGGGAAGGGTCAGAATCTATACTCTCCGACATCTTTTCACATATGACGTCCACTAGGCGCTCAAAGACCTGCCTCACATTGATGTTCTCTTTGGCACTGGCTTCAAAATAATCAAAACCTGCAAAGGAAGCCCACAAAAACAAACAAACAAACAAAAAAAAATCAATGAGACTGATTATATCAAGATTACTTGAAGTAAATGTAATGAACTGTTTAAATCGCCAACAATTTGCGTGGTGTTCCTCCAGTAGCTGGGAAGCACTTCAGAGCAACAGTATGCTCAGGCAGATTTGAAGATGCTGGTGCTCAGCTGAGTCCCAGCTTGATGGCTGGAAATGGCACTGAGCCCATCAGCCTAATCAAGGCTCACAGGCACGAGAGTTTTTTTCCAGAGCCATGCTAAATACTTGTTCAGATCATTATGGATCTAAATGGATCTGATTTTCCTCATTTGATGCACATGCAGAATTTCTCTGGATTTAAACTGAAGGTGAACAATGATGCTGAAAAGAAAAGGGACAAACTTGTGCTATCCGACATGTATGTGTACCTCAACTGGGAGGAGTGGAGGACATTTTTTAAGAGCATCTGTTGCTGTCTAGAGGCAGCAGAGGCCACGACGTGGAGCACTGGACTGCGACTCAGGAAACAGATGCTCACTCCCCCATTCTTCGGCTGACTGGCCTGTGTGGTTATTGGCAAAACATTTCACTTCTCTGTGCTTCTACTTCCCTTTCCTTACTATCTTTATCTGTTTATATCAGAAGCATCTCAGGACTGGGACTGTCAATATGGGTTTGTACAGCACCTAGCACTGTGGAGGGAGGTTTTAGTTGGGGTCTTTTAGCATTTCTCTAATACAAATGGTGATGATGCAGCTGACAGGGAATTTAAAACCTAACACTAGGAGCTTCCGACGCAGAGCTAAGCAGCCTAAAATTCCCCACAGTGTTACCCCTTCCTGATCACAGAACAGCAAGGCTGAAATCCTATTGAGTTACTGGAGGTTTCAGGTTGTTATACTTTTTTGTGTGGGTTTGTTTGGCGTGTCCAGTTGACACCTTGAACCCAAAAAACAATCTGCCTCAACACCATCAAGATTAGCCTTCCTGTTCGTTCAGGAAATTCTGTTCCTGCATCAGGCCTCAGTGCGTTGCCCCAAAGAGCAGAATATTAAATGCACTGAACTGTGAAGTGTTGCCAACTCTGTCAGTCTGGACAAGTCTCGTTTTCCTCTCCCTGGATCTTGAGACCAGCCATTAATTTAGAACAGCGAGGGCCAAACTTTTTGGCCATTGTGCCACAAATTAAGCTGACTCAATTTGGAGCTCTAGGAGCCTGGCTGTAGGGACACAGCAGCCAGCCTCACCCCACGCTGCTATGGGCTGGTCGAGAGCAGTGTGGGACAAGGTGGGTGCACTTCTCCGCAGTGGCAAAGCAGCCTGCCTCACCCAGAACTGCTCCAGGTCAGCAGGGCAGTGCACACAGCGAGAGGAAGCCAAGCCTGACTCCCAGCCTTTCCAGCTTTGAAATGGGAACTGGGCATGGAGACAGCCTTCACATGCCAGGTTCTGGCCCATCCAGCTTTTAAATCTCTGCCCCTGATGTTCAGCTGGGCAGTGAGGAGGGAGTGGGGGGAGCAAGAGGAAGCCAGAGGGGCTGCCAGCTGGGCCATCTTTTCAATTTTTTTGATGCCTACCCCCCTGTTCAGTTGGACAGCAGGAAGGAAAGGGGAAGCAGGCAGATGGACAGCACTACCTGCCCTCAGCTCTGGTGCCTAGGAGCCAAGCAGAAGGACCAGCATGGCAAGCCCTTGCCTGCTTCTCACACTGGTGAGAGAAGCAAAAGGGAGCAGCTCCCCTCCCCTCTCCTGCCTGTCTCTGGGATAGCGGGGAGCAGCTTCCCTCGCCACGTCTTCCAGAGCAGTGACCTTTTCCGTGGTTCCATTCCTCCTGGTCCCCAGGAGAAAGTAAGCTGGAGGAAAGTGTGAGACAGTCTTCCAGGAGAAACTCTCTTTGGAGACATTTAACCTGGTTGTTGCTGGGTTATTTTTCTCCCAGAGGGCATGGCCACTTGAACACACATGTGCATTTCCCTAC